CCTTTTTCTTCGTTTTCCCTTCTCCCTGTTGTTTTTTTTTTTTTTTTTTTTTGAGCGGGGCCTCCTTTTAGCTCTGGATTCCACCTCTGTCTCCTCTATGGTATCTCGACCCCCTTCTACTCCACCGCTCTTGGTGGTTTCCTCTGAGCTCTGTGAACACCAAACTCCTGGTAGAGGGAGAAAGTAAGGGTAGGGTGAGGGCAGACACCGCCAATCCCTCCAGAGGCCCGCAGAAACCTAGATCCTGGGGGGACGGGGTGGGGGCCGCTGCCCCGCCCCCGCGTTTCCCGCTCTGGGCGCCAGGGGTCGCTCCGCCCACCGGCCTCTTAAGCGGCTCCAGCGGCGCGGCGGCTCGCATCCCTGCGCTGCCGCCCGGGAAGAGAAGAGGGGAAGGTTAGGGACGCAGAAAGGGAGAGTGCCGGCGGGGAAGGGACGCGGGGCCAGGGCTGTCGCTGGGGTTGGGGCCGCGGCTGGGGCTCCTGTGCTTCCCAAGCCCAGAGCGCAAACCTACCAGAGGGTCGCTCCCGGTGGACGCCACCCTCCACGCAGAGCCCGGGACGTCCAGCGAGCAGAGAGTAGCCCCCACTCAGACCCGGGAGCGATCCGTCTGGGTCGCCGGGGACCTGGGCGCGCCATCCTTGGGAAAGCAGTCGTGCGGAGAGCAGGCATCCTGCAGCTGGTGGAAGCCAACCGTCCGAGAAGTCACCGGTGTCGGGCACCCGGGATCGTCACACCTTATAGGAGGAGGCGCTGAACCGTCGGGAACGGCCTCTGGCCCACCCCACGGGGGAATTTCCACCTTAACTGAAGGTTTGGGGACCGGCACAGCTGAGACGGGAGTCCTCGGGGGCGGGGGTGCTGAGTGTAGCCGTCGGGGGTGGGGGTGAGGTCGTCCGGGGCCAGGCCTTCACGCCTCCCCTCCGGGGTCCGCGGAGAGTCCGGGCCTCCGCCGCCATTGCGCCCAAGAGTGAGGAAGATCTGCTGGCCCTGGCCGCGTCGCGGCTGAGCCGCCGCAAGCGGGTGGCGGGCGCGGCCGTCGGGGTGGCCATGGTGCTGCTGCTGCTGGTGGCTATTCCGCTGCTGGTGCACAGCTCTCGCGGGCCAGCGCACTATGAGATGCTGGGTCGCTGCCGCATGGTGTGCGATCCTCACGGGCCGCGAGGCCCGGGACCCGAAGGCGCGCCCGCCTCTGTGGCCCCCTTCCCGTCGGGCGCCAAAGGAGAGGTGGGCCGGCGCGGCAAAGCAGGTCTGCGAGGACCCCCAGGACCGCCAGGGCCCCGGGGACCTCCGGGCGAGCCAGGCAGGCCCGGTCCCCCGGGTCCTCCAGGCCCAGGCCCCAGCGGGCTGGCCCCCCCAGCGGGGTACGTGCCTCGAATTGCCTTCTACGCGGGCCTGAGGCGGCCACATGAAGGTTATGAGGTGCTGCGCTTCGACGACGTGGTGACCAACGTGGGCAACGCCTATGAAGCAGCCAGCGGCAAGTTCACCTGCCCGATGCCAGGAGTCTACTTCTTCGCTTATCATGTGCTCATGCGCGGTGGCGACGGTACCAGCATGTGGGCCGACCTGATGAAAAACGGACAGGTGAGGCCCCCCTCCACCCTCCTGCCATCCCCAGGTCCAACCTGGTGGCCTTCTGAATCTCCCTTTTCTTACAACCCGAACCCCTTCCCTAAACAGTGCCACTGAATCCAGGAACCCCGGCTGCCAAGAACTTAGAAATGGCTTCATGTAGCCAAAGAGGGATAAGCAGCTGGAGAAGGGAAGGACCTGCCGGGGTCTCTGTGTCAGAATGAGAACTAGGCTGCTAACTCACGCACACTCTTAACTAGAACCAAACTTTTTGGTACCTCACCCTGCCAATCAGCCTTTTTCCTGGCCCCACACTGGGGTGTTCTCTCTTCTGGGTCAATCTTCCTTGATCTTTGGGTTTCTGGTTTTAAAGTGTGGCAACGGTCAGTGACCTAGCACCTGGATGCTTCAGATTAGAATAAAATCCCCATCTCAAGTTTTGGGCAGTGTTTATGGGAGATTCAGCTCGGACCTTCAAAGAAAAGGTTGAAAAGGAAGAAAACACTGGTGCATTTGCCAGGCAGCTTTTTTCTAGCTAGTCCCAGTATCTTGCTCGCATCTGGACCAAGTAGGCAGGGATGGGAAATGGGGTGACAGGTGAGGGCCCAGTCAGGTGGCGTGAAGGGATGGGTTTTGGGGAGGAAAATTTGGGCAAGGGACAGAGCAGAAACCTGGTCCTTGGCCTGGTCCCACATGCTCCCTGGTGACCTCCCCTCTAGGTCCTCTCTTTGCTGCTGTGGTCAGAGTGGACAGCACTGCCAGTCTGGCTTGGGTGAATAGTGGGCCCAGCAACACATCATAGAGGAAGTGAAAGACCCACAGGTAGATGTGACCTGGGCCGCACAGACCACAGGCACCAGGGTTGGGGCTGAGCCGGGAGCTCAGGGTGCCATGGAGGGGCACTGACCATGGCCTGGTCACCTGGCCTGCCCATGCAGGACGTTCTAGTCAGGGTCCTGCTATGTTGCAGCACTGCCCACTCCAGACTGCAGCTGCTGCACTGGGGTCTCCTCCCAGCAGGATCACCCCAGGAATCCAGGGAAAGGAAGTGAGTGTGTGTTGGTATGGGAGTGAGACAGCCTGTGTGTGTAAGGGGCCAGAGTATTTGATTCCAGTGTGTCTGGGGGTGTGGAGTGCAAAGGTGTGAAAAAGAGTTGTACGTCTGCATTTGCCACAGTGTGTGGTCTCTGCGGGTCTAGGTGAGGGGTGGAAGTGGAGGTGGAGGGGTGTGTGTGTCTAGAGTGTTGTTTCCGAGGGGCGGGGCCCCATGGCTCCCACTCTGTATTCAGTGGTGCGGGCGCTGCGGCCCTGGGGACGGTAAATAGTGATTAGAATAATGATGAATAATTAATGAGTTAATAACCAGCCCCCGCGGGACAGGAAGAGGGGGGCTGGGCAGGGGGCTGGCTGCCGGAGGCCACAGCGGCAGCAAGTCCAGAGGGAGGAGGGGCTCCCTGTGGAGCGGAGGCGACCCCCAAGTCCGTGCACCCCTCCCCAAACTCTCTAGGAGGCGGGAAAACGGGCAAGGCAGGCGAGGATACATCTTTGCACCATCTCAGGGTCTTCGCCCTTGCTTGCTGGCAAGCACACCTGTGTCCCTCAGTGGGGAAAGGGAACACAAGTTTAGGAGGTCAAAGCGCGTTTAGAATCTTAATGATCCTAACAAGCTAATTTTATTTTTTAAACGGTGATATAACAAACGATCCACAGCATTTCCCACCTGCAAGACACTGGCCTACTATGCTCCATATACAATAACTCATTTAATCCTAACGACACTGAGATCAGGATCTATTATTACCTTTCCCTTTATAGTTTAAATTGAGGACCAGAGAAGCAGTGAAACTTGCCCAAGTCACACAGCTCCTGAGTGGCAGTGCCTGAGCCCAGCAATCTTCTGTCCTGGTCTTCCCTCCCTGTCCCCCCTGCAGCCTGTCACCCCACCCGCCTTTGCCTTCGCCTTCAGCGCCCAGTGCTCCCACCAGTTCCGCACAAGACTCAGGAGCCTGTTCTCTGCCCCCTCCAGGTCCGGGCCAGCGCTATTGCTCAGGACGCGGACCAGAACTACGACTACGCCAGCAACAGCGTCATCCTGCACCTGGACGTGGGCGACGAGGTGTTCATCAAGTTGGACGGCGGGAAGGTGCACGGAGGTAACACTAACAAGTACAGCACCTTCTCTGGCTTCATCATCTACCCGGACTGAGCCCACAGAGCGGAGCCCAGCCCCGGCTTGCCCAGTCTGTCGCTCCCCACCTTATCGAACCTTCAGCTCCCCGCCGAGGCCCCACCCCATCCTTGGAGAGCGACTGTGGGCTCCCACTGCCCTCCTCCTCCCCCTCCTCGAGGTCTCCTTTTGGCCAGCTGTTGTGCTTCTGGGCTGCAGTGGCTGCCACGGAGAAGGCTGGGCCAGAGCAAGAGCTAAGTGACTTGAGAAGGGACAAGGCCCACGACATGCCAGGAGGGGGGACCTGGAAGGGGTGAGGGCCACGGTCTTCTCTCCTGCGGGGGAGTTGGGGATCGTGTTCTTTAATTGGAGCTACAGGCACCAACAGCAGGAGTCCTGGCATCTCCGAGGCCTGAGAGCAAAAAGGGAGGAGCCCATCTGAGCCAGAGCTGAGGAAGGAAGGGGCAGGGCTGGTCCTCTCTTATGACAACTTTCTCTGGCCCCCAGGCCCCCCCTCCATTATCAGGCTCCTGGCTCTGGCTGAGGCAACTTTCTTATGAACTGGAGGAACCAGTGAATTCTGTCCTGGCCTTTACAGCTCCCTCTGTACAGTCCTTACTGTTTCATCCCCACCCCAGCGAGGCCCTGGGGCTATAGCTGCCCTGCCTCTCCCAATAAAGGAAACTGGAGAATGTGTGTGCCTCTTAACAGGCGGGGGCAAGCGCCTGACCCCCTTCCTCACCCCTCTCAAGGACTCCCACCCCGCTGTCACTCCGCCAGAGGCAAAGGTCCTGTTATTTCTGGCAAGGTCTGCCTCTGGAGGGGGAGAGTAGGATCGCCCAGGGCTTTGCCAGCCCTGTGGCGTGAGCGGGCAGTCCACATCAGGGAGGCTCTTTTCTTGTGTGAGGGGGGCCGGGGAGGTACCAGCCACAGTGGCACTGACAGGAGCAATCTGAAGACCTCAGCCTGCTGGTTCTTTCTGCCTGGGGTAGGCACAAGTCTAAGAGGAGCTCTAGGGCGTGAGGGAGCAGCTGATGGCTCCTGGAGCCAAGTCTTCCGGGAGCCGTCCCCAAAAGCCCACATTTGCCTCCTCCTAGAGCTTGTTGAGGGGTGGGGAAGGCCCTGGGGGGTGGTTTCCTCCTGTCAGAAGAGCGCCTGGTGAGTGGCCCGGGATCCGGCGGGCCCAGGACTGTCTCTACACTGGCAGACACTGCCACCGTGTGGGCAGCAGAAGGAAACCAGACATCTGGATACGCAGAAACTTTATTGAGGGACAAAGGGGTGTCGGCTTCTAGTCAGTGGGTTGGACTAACAATAAATAAGGGCTAAAAGGAAGGAACAAAGGCAGGAGTGAGCGAAGGCTGATGCCTCACGCTGGAGAATCTCGAGGGCCAGCAGAACTGACTGGAATAAAACACTGGAGAGAGAGAGCGAGACTGTCAGTGCGGCCATCCCGGAGCTGCAGGCAACCCTACCCCACTGCCCTGTGCAGGCGTCAAGTGGACCCCTGCCCGCTTCCTCCTCCCCCCAGGCGTGGGGGGTGGCACAGCCTGGCTGGACGGAAGGCTCACCAGCGCCTCTTGCCATTCAAGTAGGGTGGCCACAGGGTTGGCACAGACCCGGCTGGGGCCTGAGGGAGGGGCTCGGCTGGTGTAGAAGGCACACTCGTCATCCAGGCAGGTCTCGTGGAAGCAGTGGATGGTGGTCAGACAGGCCTTGAGGCGCTGCCTCAGGGCCAGGGTTCGAGGGGCCAGACTGCTGGAGCCTGAGGGCGAGGCCAGAGTTCAGGGCAGGGTCTGGATTTCTCTATTCCACCCCCTCTTCATGGGTCAAGTCCATTAGGAGCATGGACGAAGGGCAGCTCCCCCCGTCTTACTGCAGGAAAGCCAAGCTGGGGCAGAGTAGAAAGTGGAAGAATCATGGCTCCCAGGTGCAGGCAGGGGCCTCACTCCCAGCCAGAGACGTGAACCTCCTTTGTTCACAACCCTTCCGAACAGCTCCTTACCTGCCTGACGTGTAGGAGGTCTTGGCGACTGGAGTGAGCAGCTAGGGGGACTGGCACAAAATGGGCTTTGGGAGGTCAGGCTGGTGGTTGCTGGAGGCCCCTGTGGGCTGCGTGCTGGATTCGGGGGGCAGGCCTCAGATGCCCCAGGCTCCAGCTCAGAGGAGGGCTTTGGGAGTCCAGTCTGCCCCGGGGGGCAGGCCTGAAGGGGCTCTACTGGAGGACGGGGTTCTGGTTCCTTCGGCTGTTCCTGGGCAGGGGGCTCTGGAACCTCAGGCGCCCTCCTGTGGCAGGACTCTGGGGGCGCCAGCTGTGGTGCAGGACAAGGCTGAGCCACCTGGGGATCTGCTCCGGGGGCAGGCTGTGGTTCCCCACACTCCTCTAAAAGGCAGGGCTTTGGCAGCCCAGCGTGCTGTAACGGTTCAGGAACATGGAAAGGCCCAGATTTATGTTCGGAGGCACTCAGAGTTCTAGAAACCTCCATCAGCAGGGGCTGAAGTTCAACCATATCCAGAGAGGAGCTGCTATCAGGGCGGGCTGCCAGCCCTTCTACCTCCTGTTGCAAAAGCTGCTGCAGAATACTGATGCGCTGTGGGTGGAAGAAGCCCGCTGTGACGTCAAGGCGTGGTTCCGGTCCCAAACTCCCCTCTCGCCCTGCCCCCTTCTGCAGCCCTTTCACTGCGTATCAGGCCTCCACGCTGCTGTCCCACAGACCCACCTGCATCTTCAGCACCTGAAGGTTGGAAGTCCTGCTGGAGTGGGGGCTGCAAAGAGTTGCTACAGGTGGTTTCCCAGGCCCCTCCTGCAACCTGGTGCAACTCTCCTGGTCAAATAACCGTACAGTAATCTGATCCTGCCACATGGAAGGAGAGGGGCCTTATGAGGAAGTCAGGCTGGGGCGGGAAGACCAGTCCGCATCCAAGGTCTCTGAGAGGCCACAGATTGCTGGAGAGCAAGGTCGCTCTTCCAGGGAACTCACCTGCCGCAGAACACTAGGCCAAAGGCCAATAGGGATCTCAGCGTGGGAAGACCACTACTTACCCAGGGCAGGACAGGCTCTTCAGGGCCAGACTGCGGGGAGAGGCCTCTCAACTGGGCCTGGCACGGAAGCGAGATGTCAGCCAGGACCCGCAGAAGGGCCCGGTGGCTCCTGCCTCTGCCATGACTTTCCTCCCCCAGCCACGGCCTCCCTCGCCCCTCGCCCCTCGCCCCTCACCCCTCACCCCTCTCACCTGCTGAACCTTGGGTGCTTGTGGGATGGGTGTGAGCTGGGCTTTGGAGTGACTGGCGAGACGCCTCAACACTGAATATGAGATCTGAAGAGAGACAGGGTGCCTGAGCAGGAAAAAACCTAGGCCTAGCAGGGAACCCAGCCAGACAGTTCTGCCCTTGCTCAGCCCCCCAAATTTGTGGGTACAAACCCGGGTTGAGGGGCTAGGGGAGGGTACACGCTGAGCCTGTCCAAAGAGTGATGGGCGGGTGGTGGAGGGTGGCCCAGCTTGGCCAGGGGAAGGCATCGGGTGGCAGTCTCGGCTGTCCTGTGGAGAGGAACGAGGTGAGTGCTGGGCTCTCGTCGTCTTTTCTCCCATGGTAGCCAGTGTGATCCCTTCAGGACCTAGTCAGAGCATCACTCTCGTTGCTCCCTGCTGCTTGGCTTTCTGAGGAAAAGCCGAGGCCTTACCCTATGTGTGCCTCCTTACCCACTGTCCTCACTCTGCTTACTTGCTGACATCCCTCTCATGCTGAGCCTTAACCAGACGAGCGCAGTCCCTCCTTGGGCTGTGCTGCTACAGTGCTCTTGGCCTAGAACCCCAGCTATTGCCATGGCGGGCTCTCTCTCAGCATCTGTTGGTACTTAGTCATCTTCTCAAGGAGATTCCCCTGACAAACTATTTGAAACTGCAGTACTAACCACTCCCAACTTCCACTCCCTGTAGGGCTTTCTTTTTTAACGCCGAGAGCTTATTACCATCTAACATACTATATATTTTATAATGTGTACTTACCTGTTGTCTCCGCCTTCTAGAATGTCAACTTATTTAATGCGATATATCCAGAACCTTGACGAGTGCTTGGCCTACAGTAGCTAGTCAATAGATACTTGAGGAGTGAGTGAATGACTGCTTCGGCTGACAGTGCCAGATCTGTCTCACTCTCAGTACCGATCTGACGACGATGCAAGCATGCTAGGGCTAAAATCTATACAGCCCTAGCCCCAAGGCACCTGGCAAACAGACCAGTCCCTCCTGGAGAGGGCTTGGGCCCCTCCGAAGCACATCCAGACCCAATTAAAACCCCGGCTGGGCACTGCCAGGCTCTGCCCCCAGCGGTCAGGGTGGCTATGGCTCGGGGAGCCCCCCACGACCCCAGCCGCAGGAGGGTCCCATCTCACCCTGGTGTAGGTCATGTCTTTGTTTTCTCTTAATGGTACCCGCTGGGCCAGACCGAGGGGGCCCCCTCCTTCATCTGAGTGAGTGACAATTTCATGTTCTCTTCCAGGGAAAGAGGAAGCTAGGAGGAGACAGGAAGTTTGCTATAGAATCTGGAACACCCACCAAAGTCTGCCACAAAGTTTTGCAGCCTCTGAAGAGAAAATGCCAGTTTGACAGCCTTCACAGCACTAGCCCAGTAAACACCGGCTACTGTGAATAGTCTGAGCAGGCCAGGGTTGTGGTGGGGGCTCTCAGGACCTGCGGACAGGACAATGAACAGCAGATCTTGCAGGAAGAGGCAGGGAGGGGCAGAGATGAGGACCACCTCCTTTGACTCAGTACACTGGGCCGACCGCTGGCCTGTGAAGGTCTTTTCCCCCAGCCTGCTGAGCTGTCTCTTGTCCTCTCCCCACTGCAGGCAACCCACCCACTCACGCCCAAGTTCTTTGCCCATAATCAGGCGCACTTACCAGGCTTGACTGGGGTCCCCAGGAGCAACTCTGCAGCCTGGCTCACTGAGGTCCTGATGATGATAAAGGTGGCAGCTGAGTCACTAGTAGCAAGTGGGCATTATACTAAGTGCTTTACAAACCTCTGAGTTTCCAGAACAACCTCTAAAAATGACGCAAATATTACCCTCATTTGACAGATTAAAGAAAGTGAAGCTTGGAGGTTAAGGCATGGCTCTCTGGCTATAAGTGGTAAGAATGATGGATCAAACCCAAACCCCCTTCATTGCCCCAGACTGTGCTCTAGCCACTGACCAGACGAGATGGCGCTGTGCCCCCATCCTCCCCCCTGGCCCCCTGGCAGAAATTGGCATGCTGAGGTCTGGCTCTCAAGGCCTGGCCTGAATCCTAGTCCGAGGGCTGCCCCTGGGCAGTCACAGTGTCCCCCTTCGCCTCGGGTTGGTGGAAGTCCTGATGCCACCGGGTGGCCCTAGCTCTGAGACCAATCAGACCTTCAGTCATTCTTTTCTAGATGACGCCCTGCTTTCTCACCGACTGCTGACACCTGTCTCTCTTCTTAGCTCCTGGAAACTGGGGTGAGTGGAGGGGTGTGACGAAGGTCCTGAAGACAGAATCTGACTCTAGGAGATAAAAACTGAGTCAGAGGTGGATCCCAAACCTTTAGGCCTCACCTGTCTCCACAGAACCTTGCCATTTTCTCTTAAGGCCCAGATTTGTGCTTGGAAGGAGCACTGAATTTAGTCCCTCAGGGATACTCACCAGCTCTTCTGACCTCTGAGGGCGCAAGGTCTGGCTGCGGGGGCCTGGTCCCTGCAGCCTGGAAAAGCAGGAAGCCCTGGCAGGGTCCAGTCGGTGGATAGGGGTTCTGGGGGCCAAATATGCAGAGGCCCGGGCACCCTGGGACCCCAAAAGAGGCAGTTGGCACAGGCTCAGAATGCTCTCCTTAGTCCACCCACCTGATCTCATTTCCCGTCTCATTACCTGGCCTCTCCGTAGGGTGCCTCCCTGGCTCCCTCGAATCAGTACTCTCTGGGCCAGACTAGGCTGGCGCCCAAGGTGACAGCTCTTCACCCCCTCACCTGATAGGATAGTGGCCAGGGCTGCTGGGTCAGCCACAAACTCTATGGCCCCTGGAGCCTCTGCAAGGGGAGAGAAGGAAAAATGAGAAGGAACAAGAGAGGGGCAGGGCTGAGACCACACTGTAAGTGAAGTCGCCTCCAAGTGCGAGGAGGAGCCAAAAAGCCTGCTCGATTGCACTCAGGTCACCAAATGTCCAAGTAACTTCACATAAGACCCTGTGGTAGGCGCTGGGGCCCACAGATGAGGAAGCCAAAACACCCATTCTCAAAGCTACCACCAGTCTACAAAGAGGTTACAGACTCACGTCAAAATGCTGGCTTGTTGTGAAAGAGGTACTGAAAAGTATTAGGCTACAAAGTAACTGATAGTTACTGAGGGAACTGGAGAAGTCTGTGGGAAGGATGACGTTTAGGTGAAGGAAGGAGAGTGCTTCTAGAACAAGGACTTTCTAGGAGCAGGGACCAGAGCTCTTACAGCAAGCAGGAAATTAAAACCCCACCGTAACCATCCCGTTCTCCCAGCCAAAGACACAGACTTCTGAGAGCTGGCACCTGTCTGGGGAGGAGGCCCAGGCCCCATGCTCTGTCCCCCAGGACTGGGCCTGAGCTCTTCCAAGGGGTTCCGGTGCTGCGTGCTTCCCACCAAGCTCTCTGATTTCTCTGTTTGATGTGCAGCTTTTGGCGTGGGGTCTGCTGAGCCATGGAGGAAGGGCTGACTGCTGAGCTTCTGCACCATTCTCTGGGGGAGGGGAGGACAAGACGCTGGGGCTCAGCGTGGGGTGCACTGTTGATGCCACCCGTACCTACGGCCTTCACCCACCAGGTCCCTCTTACCCTTGGGTCTTGGTTCTCCTGGTCCCCCGCGCTGGGCTTGCCGGCCGGAAGCGCTGGGCATCTGTGAGGGCGCACGGGAATCTTGCTCGGGGTGGGCGCTACACCCCGATGGGAGGAATCCTTCCTGGCTTGGAGGGAGGTCATGTCGGCTACAAGAGAGACGGGGACCCAAGGTCAGCTAGCTCGTGGGCAACGACCCTAACAGCCCAGGTATTCCCAAAGCTCTCTAAGAGCCGCGGCATCTGCAAGGCCGCTCTCCTGGCTGCACCTCCAGACACCCTGAGCCTACTAAGGCCCAGCACCAGGGGCTGCCTGTCCTGCGAGCCACCACGGCCCTCTCCCCGTCGGAGTCCCACGCCGCACCTTCAGGAAGCCCTCAGGACTGCCCCCACGCCCTCCGTTTTTCCCGGATTCTCCCGGCTCCAGCTGCAGCCACTTCCCCAGTTCGTAAAATACGCCGAGCTCCTGATTGGCCCATCCGCGCTCCGCGGGGAGGCGCGTGACACCTGACTCAGCCGTCCAATCCGCAGGCCTCGGGGGCGGGGCCTGGGGATGGACGGGCCGTCCGACGGCTTTCTGGCCGGGGAGGAAACTGACGGGCTCCCACCCGCCAATCCGGGCCCGAAGCGCGGTGTGGGGGCGGGGAAAAGGAAGGAGGGCGTCGTTCTGGGGCGGGGCGGCGGGGCGGCGGTCCGGGCGCTGGGCGCGGGCTGCTCTCGCGAGGTCTTCCGGGCTGGACCGCGCGGGGCGCTGCGCGTGGGCCGGGTGTGGTCATTTCAGCCGAGGGTCCGGCTGCCGCCCGGCTCCCGTCCACTGCAGCGCGGCCGCTCCAGACTTGTGGGGAGCGTCTTCTGCACGTTGTGCGGAGGACCAAGGACTGACCCCAGACTTGGGGGAGGAGGGCGGCGAGGACTGGGGGAACTTGAATAAAAAGAGTTTTTCGCCCCGCCTCAGACCGTGGTGAGGTGTGGCTGTCAGGTCACACAGAGGGAGTAGCTTCAACAGTGAGGTGGACGCCTTCAGTACCTCGGCCTGGGGTACTGGGAGCCGGGTCTCACCTGTCGTTTTTTTGGCAGGCAGGGGTGTGAAATTGAGGGAACCTAGAGTACCCCAGTTGGGGTGAGAAGGGTTCCCGCTTTTTGGAACAGCACATAGAGATGTGCTGTGGTTTCACAGGTTATAATAACACGACGTCGTGCAATAGTATATCCAGAAGAAAAGAGCCTATCTTAATCTTAAAATGCATCATTCTTTTAAGAACGCTAATCATGCAAGATGAAGAATGATGTAAAAAATATGTATATAAAATAAAAAATATAAAAACAAACGAGCTTTCAACAAGTTGATCTTTCTGTTGATGGAAGGTCTTGGCTTGATGTTGATAGTTGCTAACGGATTAGTGTTTCCTTAAGATGGGTGACTGTGGCAATGTCTTAAATAAAGTAATAATGAAGTTTGCTCATGGACTGCCTCCTCCTCTAACAAAGATTTCGCTGTAGTACATGATGCCGTTGGATAGCATTTTAAGCACAGTATAACCTCTTTCACAGTTGGTGCAACCTCAGCACCTAGGTTTTATGTAATAGTCCAAATATTTTGTTGTCATTCAGCAGTGTTCACAGCATCTTCAACAGGACTAAGTTCCAGCTTAAGAAACCACTTTTTTTGCACATCCATAAGCAATAACCCCTCATCCACCCAAAGTTTATCATGAGATTGCACCAGGTCAGGGTCCACTTCTATTTCTAGTTCCCTTGCTATTTCCCCTCCTCCAGCTGAAGTCTTGATTCCTCAAGTTCTGTCTTCAGAGGGTGAGAATCAACTCTCAAACTCCTGGTAATGTTGCTATTTTGACCTCCCATGGTCACAGATGTTCTTTATGTCATCTGTTGTTCTGTTTACTCTGCTCAGATTCATCAGAGGACTCGCTGTCTATGGTAGTTATAGCCTTCTGAAATCTATTTCTCATAGAATAGGACTCGAGTTACTCCTTGACCCATGGACTGCAGAACAGATGCTCTGTCAGTGGAATTCATGCATATCCATCACGATTCTTGGGCTATCAGAGGCACTGCCAATGGCTAGTAATATTTTACTTTTTAAAAGATTTACTTTTATTCATTTATGCATACAAGACTGGGCTGTAGGCTGGAGTTGGCGGTGAGAGGTTTCACCAGAGACAGAGTGGGGAGCAGAACGGGCAGATCAACTGAAATGCACTGCTGAGGGGAGTAGCCCACGAGACAGGAGAGGTCTGCTGTGCTGTGTGTCCACTGAGGGCAGGGAGAGACACAGGGGAATGGCCAGTGGTGAAACACAAACACTTATTTGTTGTTATCATATAGGTGTGGTTCATGATGCACTAAAACAGTTACAATAATAACATCAAGTATTTGTGACCACAGGTTGGAATAGTGCAACTGTAACCAAAATGTGACAGACACCTGCTATTGGAACGGCACCAATAAGCTTGTTTGACACAGGATTATCACAAAACTATTTGTAAAAAAACAAAAACAGTGACATCTGATTTCTCC